GGCTCAGTGCTAGGATTTGTACTTTGTTGTGGCATCATTGTTCTCTGACAGAGAAGGCTAAATATCTCACAAAACTACAAAATCCAGAATTCTTTTCCGTTGAGCCATGGTAGTTAAACCAGTGTCAAATTGCATTATTTGAAGTGTAGATGCAGCCTTAGGGCCCATACAGACTGCCAGAAATAATCCAGTTTGAGGCTACTTTAACTGCTCAGTGCTAGGGAATCATGGACATTGTAGTTTTTTCTGAGACATTGAGCCTTCTCTGACAGAGAGCTCTGGTGCCACAATAAACTATAGTTCCCATGATTCCTTAGTACTGAGCCAGGGCAGTTAAAGTGGTCTCAAGCTGCATTATTTCTGGCAGTCTGTATAGGCCCTCAAAATCAGATTTAATAGGAAATATAAGCAGGAAAAAAATTGGTGCTTTATTTCAATATATAAATCCTATCAAAGCCTAATAGCTTTGGAATGTTAGTGTTAGGAGGCATTGAAATATGGTTGATCAAGCTTTCTAAGGAATAATTGTGTCATATTGAGGATGGAGCAAGCTTGTTTTCTGCTGCTCCAGAGACTAGGACCTGGAACAATGGATGCAAGCTCCAGGAAAAGAGATTCCACCTCAACATTAGGAGGATCTTCCTGACAGTAAGGGCTGTTCGGCAGTGGAAGATGCTCCCTCAGAGTGTAGTAGAGTCTCCTTCCTTGGAGGTCTTTAAGCAGAGGCTGGATGGCCATCTGTTGGGGATGCTTTGATTGTGAGTTCCTGCATGGCAGGGGGTTGGACTGGATGGCCCTTGTGGTCTCTTCCAACTCTATGATTCTATAAAATAAATGTGTCACTGTATTAATAGAATAAGAAGTATTCGTGTGGGGTTTTTTTCCCATTAAAACATTGATGCAAAAAAATTGTTTAAACCAACAAAAAAAACCTCCATAGGTTTTGCATTTCTCCCAAAAAACAAACAACAAAGAGAGTGTGACAAAGTCACCCAGTGGATTTCCATGGTTAAGCAGGGATTTGAAGCCTGGTCTCCAGTGTCCTAGTCCAACACTCAAACCACTACACCACCTTCACTCTTTCTGGATTGCTGTATGACCCAGCCTTGAGAGGAAGTGCATGGTTTGTCTCACAGTGTTCTCCTTTTTTCCCTCCATTCCAGCTGCTCCATTGCAGAAATGCGTCGTTTTTTCCCCTTCCTCGCCAGCCCCTGCCGCCGTTGGCCCAAACCATGGCCCGGTACCTGCGCTCCGTGGAGCCCTTGGTGAGCCCAGAGGAACTGGAGCAGACGCAGCAACTGGTGACCGAGTTCGAGGCTCCGGGAGGCGAAGGGGAGAGGCTCCAGGCCCGGCTGCAGCGTAGGGCCGCTCGCATGGAGAACTGGGTGAGGCAGCGGTCCCTGGGAACCTCCAAGAAGGAAGATTTTAAAAAGCCCTATAAAGACCTATATGGCTTAGGTCCAGATTATTTGAAGAACCGTATCTCCCCGTACAATCCTGCTAGAGCCCTAAGATCGTCAGGAGAAGGCTTTCTCTTGGTCCTGCCACCATCCGAGTCTCGCTTGGTGAGGACATAAGAGAGGTCCTTCTTGGTGGCTGCTCCCAAGCTCTGGAATGCCCTTCCACAAGAGACCAGGCTTGCCTCCTCCCTGCTTGCCTTTTGTCGGCAAACCAAGACATTTTTATTTAAGCAGGAGTCCGATATATAATCATATCAGGGTATATATATATATATATATATATATATATATATATATATATAATCATATCATATCAGGTTGGTATATAGTCATAGCATATTAGGTTTTTAAGGAGTAGGTATGTTTTAGTCATGCTTTTAACTTTTGTATATTTTTATGTGGTTTCATGCAGTTTTTAAATAATCTAAATCAGGGGTAGGCAACCTTTCCCCTTTAAGGGCCGAAGGACTTCAGCTCCCAGAATCCCAGGAGCTATTGGCCAACATGGGACTACTGGCCAACATGGCTGAGGCTTCTGGGAGCTGAAGTCCCTTGGCCCTTAAAGGGGAAAGGTTGCCTACCCCTGATCTAAATTGTTTTAAAATTTTATTGTATTTTTTAAAATGTTAATAATAATAATAATAAATTTTATTTAATACCCCGCTCCTCTAAAACCAATCGAGGCGGCTTACAGATGATAAAAAATGACATCATATAAAATTCACACCCAATACACACACCCCTTAAAAAGATATTAAACATTCAATTAAAACATCATATAAATAAAAACATCATAAAAATAACAAAAAATACGGCAAGGAGTAAAACGGCGAGAATTCCTGTAGGGAGGGCTGTGGAGGTGTCTTGAGGGTTTCCTGAGGCCGGGACGTCTAATCTGGAAAGTTTCTGTCTGCAAGCCACCTTGGGTCTCTTCTGGGAAAAAGGCGGCACACAGATGAAGTAAATAAATCAAATCAAATTTTAAAAAAATAGAGACCTAAGGCAGAAATAAGCAGCCTGCTGCTTCACCTGTGCTGCCAGGGCCACGCTGGTGTGGCGCAGGGACTCTGGTGGCTTCTGTGCCATTAGGGGCCAGCGAATATGTTTGGGGTTTTATAGGAGCCCTGTCAAAATGTTGAACCTTGTCCCCAAAATAGGTTCATCACCTTGTTTAGCTCCTTTAGAATCATAGAATCATAGAATCATAGAATCATAGAGTTGGAA